AGAGAGAAAGAGAGAAAGAGAGAAAGAGAGAAAGAAAGAAAGAAAGAAAGAAAGAAAGAAAGAAAGAAAGAAAGAAAGAAAGAAAGAAAGAAAGAAAGAAAGAAAGAAAGAAGAGAAGGTGGGAGGAAGGAAGAAAGAAAAAAGAAGGAAAGAAAGAAAGAAGAGAAGGAGGGAGGGATGGAGTGAAGGAAGGAAGGAAGGTTGTGAGATTCTCATTTTAACTCAGTCCCTGTTGGCATCAGAGATGCAACCTTTGAGAAAGCAACTTCAGATTTACAACACCCCAAATTCCTCCAGCTGGTGCAGCAACGTTCAGCTCAGTCTAATCTCACACAGCCCAGAAGCTGAGGGAGCAAAAAACCTCCAGAATAAGAGGAGGGAGGGGGGGGGAAATAGCAGAGAGGCCGCCTAAGCTATTTTGCTGCCTGAGGCAAAGGCGCCAACCTCAGCTCTTCAGTCACAGCAAACCAGGTTAAAGAGATGCTGTACCCGCAGCCAGCCGCCTTCCTTGGGGCAGAGAAGGTGGGAAAACACTCTCCGGCCCCTCTGCCCATCTCTAAAAGGGGAAGGGGAGGATGCATTTTTATCCAGAGGGGCAGGGGAGGCCCCAAACGGTCCAGAAATGGTTTGGGATGGAGTCAAGAGTATGAAATGACGGAGCTCCCAAAACAAGCTACAGCTATAGCTCAGGGTTTGAGGTTCTCTGGCTGCAGAGATAGAGGTTGGGAGTTCGAATCCCCCACGGGACCTCCTTGATGGGGGGCTGGACCCAATGATCTCCTGGGCCCCTTCCAGCTCTGCAGTCTGATGAGAATGATGATGATGATGATAAGGCTTGGCCCAAAACTCACATCTCCCTCAGACTCAGAGAAACTGGACATCCAGCTGCAGGGCCAGAGGTTGGGGGTTCGAACCCCCTACCGGGCTTCTTTGACAAAAGCTGGTCCGGATGATCTATAAGATCATCCCTCCCACCTCTGCCATCCCAAAACAATTATTGTTGTTGTTGTTATCTAGGGGTTGCAGGCTCAGCCCTTGTCCGCTGCACCCAGCGAGATAAAAACGGGCAGGTTTTCTGAATTTAGGCCTTGACGGGCACAAAGCTGTAACCCTCCACCCTCCTTGCAAGGGGTAGGAAATCATGACAGCAGCAACAGGAGGCTGTGAGAGCAGCCAGCATCACAACCCTGTGATGATGGGAGGGAGGAAAAAACAACAACCATACACAACGGAAAGATGGAGACACATTTAGGAAACCGGAAGGGGGGTTGCTTCTTTTTTTTCCTGGAGTTTGAGGCTTCCCAAATAAATCTGGAAAAGGAACGGGCAAAATGCTGGACCTCTCTCTCTCTCTCTCGCAGACCCAGGGTGGAAAGATCTGGGAACAGCCAGGCGGCCTCTGCCTACAGTCAGTCTCAGTCTCAGTCTCAGTCTCAGT